AAATGAGGTCTAAACTGAAAATGAATGCTCAACTGCACTGAGTGCCTGCAGCTGCTCTTAGCAGCAACCTTAACTATACACACGATCTCTAACACTCAGTCTCTCTCTCTCCGACACACTGAATGACACTTTGATGTGAGGCTGGAGCGGAATAAGTAGAGAGCAGAAAACCGCCCCTCCTTTCTGAAGAATCAGCAGAGAACATCAGGAGATTATTGGATATGGGAGGGGTGAAATCTCCTCATCCTCCCCCATTTCATCTGACCATTCAAGAATCTAAACATAACTGTAACTTACGCACACACTCCAAAAGTTGTCCTCTGCTTACAACTTTTGTTAACACATTTGCAGGTATCTCTTTCCCCCTTTATCTAAGACACTTTTATCACATCATTAAACAGTTACTGCAACCATTAGGGAAAGAGTTAAAACACAAACCTCAATCTGTAGTTTAAACAAAATACACACTGTGAATACACAAATGAATAAGCAGCTTCTAGAAAAATCTTCATACACATTTTTTTTCTCCCAGATACAAATTAACATTGCTAATTAGGCAGATTTGAACAAACCACTTTTGTACTCAAACACATGCTTGCTCCTTCAAACCTGATCCTTTTAACGTATTACACATGAACCACTTAAGGTCAGGTAAGGAAATAAATAAAGCGTTTTGTGCTATTACTGTCAGCACATTTCATGCTTGGTTCAAAAACCGCACCAGAGTTGCTTGTGACCGCAGCCTTAGCGAACTCTTCAGAAAACCTTTTCGGTGGTACACCCTTGGTTGTTCTCTCGGATCTGCGCAGAACTCTCTGATCTTCTTATTCTGGTGCTTCCTCCTCTTTGGGAGAATGGGGAGCTAAAGTATATGAAGCTGCTAAGTCTTAATCTGCGTCAGACTCACCTGAGGCTTTGGGCTCTGATAATCTGTGCCATCATCCGAATCTACATCGGCATCAGAATTATCATCAGCTACAACAGCACTTGCCTCCCTCTTAACTGTCTTTGCCCCTTTTGCACCATCATCACAAATGGGAAGGCTCTGAAAAATGCCAACTTTGTCCCATTTCGGATTGTCATCAATACTCCTGGTCAGCCTTATGGTTTTCGTGTCTGTGATGAGGACACGATAAGATCCTTTCTCATATCCTAGGAAAACACCATGTTCTCCATGCTTACTCAGTTTGTCACCCTGCGAGGTGTGCACCCAAACCTCCGACCCAAAAATTTTAAAATGCTTTACATTCGGCTTCCTCTTGTGAAGCATTTTGTACGGGGTGCAATTTACAGCGGACTGATACCTCCTGTTAAACACGTGACAGAAAAACGAAAGAGCTTTTGCCCAAAAGGGATTGGGCAGCCCCGAATCATGCAACAGTGTTCTGATTCCTTGCTGCAGGGTCTGGTTTACTCTCTCACATAAACCATTCTGCCAGGGTGATCTGGGCGTGGCAGTCCTATGCTCAATGCCCTGTTCAGAAAGAAAACTCTCAAACTCTTCTGAACAAAACTCACCTCCCCTGTCACTGAAAAGACAACGTACATTCTCATTATGTACATTCCTGAGCCATTGACAAAACTGACAAAACTTGGTAAAGGCTTCGGACTTTTTCTGCAACATATAGACCCATACATATCTTGAATAGGAGTCTATCAACACCATAAAAAACCTTGAATTGCCTCTAGAGAGCGCTAGAGGCCCCACTAAGTCTGCATGAATGACTTCGTATGGTTTCTTGGCCTCTCTCCCAGACTCTGTACCTTTGGGAGCTTGCCTTGCCTTATTCTCAGCACAAGAAACACATTTCATGTGGTAGGGACATTCCTTCAACTTCATTCCCTCAACCATAATAGGCATTTTTGCCACAGCCTGGAAAGTCAAATGACCATAAACACAGTGGTAATAATGAATACATTGGTCATGCAACTTCTCATTCTTATCAACTGATAAATTGCAACACTCTTTCTCAGTTGCTTCTGCAGTACCTGTAACAAAAGGCAATTGGTGCAAACCATTAACACATTTTGCATACAGAATGAGCTTGCCATCTCGACGAATTTCACAACGAGATCTAGCAAAAACCACCTTAAACCCCTGGGACACACTCAACAGATTGTCCTGAATATGAGGAGCATACAGGACATTCTTAATTGTTGCATTCAGGCTCTTTAAAAACACAGTTCCCTTAGCCAAACTCCTGAGAACAGTCCCATCTGCTTGATGAATTGCTTTCTCTTGCTTCTCAAGCTGAACAAAGAGACTTTCATCGTTGGTCACGTGGTTGGAACAGCCAGAGTCGACCACAAAGAAACTCCGCCCATGTTGATTGGAACAGCGAGAGATCAAAGCCTTTGAAGTAGCAGGTGCTTGGGGATTTCGTCCTCCTCCCCCTCTGCCTTTGAAGCTTCCCTTCTTCTTTGAAGATTTCTTGCTGCACTGGAAACTCAAATGGCCTTGTGCTCCACACAAAAAGCACCGCCACAACTTTAGTGCTTTAACAGCAGTTTCACTTTCACTTTCCCTGCTGAAGACTCAGGCACATTTTCAAGCACATTTTTAACAGCACAGTCCCTGCTTTCTCTAACAGCCTGTCTGCGATCCCACTCATTCAAGAGCACGCTAGACACATAATCTTCCGTTAGCCGGTCTGAAGGCATCGTAGAAATCTGGGCAGCTACTCCATCATAAGACTCATCTAGGCTGTTTATCATCAGCATTGCAAACACAGCCTCTGAAATAGCCTGGTCTTGCTGAACAAGGTCCTGTCTGAGACGCTTTAACTGAGATAGATGGCTAGGCAAATCACCACCTTTCTCCAACTGCAGCCTGCACAGCTTCTTGAAGAAAATCACACTGTAACCAGCATTCTGCCTCAAATGCATACCTCTCAGCTTATGCCAAACAGCTCGTGCAGTCTCTTGACCCTCTAAATTCACCAACAAGTGGTCTGCAACACTCAAAACAATTGTCCCTTGGGCTTTCATGTCTGCAGCATGCCACTCAGGCCAGTCATCATCATCCTTATCGGGAGGGTCATCTTCTATAGTGTGAAATAGCTTTTCCCTTTGTAAAAGCGCTTTCATCTTGACCTGCCATACTGCATAGGTTTCAGGCGTGAGGAGAGGAAAGGACAGAGCCATCTGGCCAGAATGTGCACAGGCCATGTCTGCTATTACTTAAAGCAAGATAAAGCCTTGGACTCCTTCAGCTACTCTCTCTCCCACTCAGAGCGCAATTAACAGGCAAACAGGGATGCTATCTTCTCTTTGCAGTCAGCAACATACCACCATAAATCAAGCAGCAGCAACAGCAACAGCGGCAGCTTAAACACTGCTCCGAAACAGCTCTGCTTCTGGGCACCGCAAATCAGTCCAGCATGCAGCGTCCGTTCCGCTGTCCGGCAAATCAGCAACAGAAACCTCTGGCGACTGGGACTACTGGAACGACTGGTCAGACAACTGGGACAATGACTGGGCCCATAACCGATGTCAGCATTGCCCTTGAGCCAGTGCCACCAACTGGACTCATCCACTTCAGCCCCAACTGGGCTAGGCGAGCTGGGTAGCACTTCCAGAGACCACCTTCTGAACAGGAACAGGTCAAAGTGCTGTGGACTCACAGCTTAGATTGTGAGCACCGGATTCACTCCAACAAGAAGACAGTCGTCGCACAGCAGAGTATAGCAGAGCATAAAAGACTTGGAGAGCAGCTCTGTAGAATATCTTCTTTATTCTATCTACAACTATAATACACAACTATATACAGAGCTAAAAGAGGTCTAAACTGAAAATGAATGCTAAACTGCACTGAGTGCCTGCAGCTGCTCTTAGCAGCAACCTTATCTATACACACGATCTCTAACACTCAGTCCCTCTATATCCGACACACTGAATGACACTTTGATGTGAGGCTGGAGCGGAATAAGTAGAGAGCAGAAAACCGCCCCTCCTCTCTGAAGAATCAGTAGAGAACATCAGGAGATTCTTGGGTATGGGAGGGGTGAAATCTCCTCACACAAACCTCCCATGTAAGGTTTGGTCTAGCAAGACTTTTAAAAGTGGATTAGAGAGAAAGTGCAGGGAGGAGGAATATCCACCACCATAGCTAAACAGAACCTCCATGTCGAGAGGCAGTGGACCTGTGACCTCCAGGTGCTGGAAACCCAGGTGAGAGGAGGGCACTTACCTTTCCCAGAAGCCCCTCAGTGTCTGGTCTGGCCCCCTACTCTCCCACTGGGCACCAACTGGCATCCGCAACTCCCCTGAAGGAGAGGACACCATCCCCAGAGTGGGGAGAACTGGGAGCCTGTGGGGTTTCCCACTTTGAACAAGGGGGCTGCATCGTCTTCAGGAAATCCTGCTTCTGGGCCTCCCAGTGCTGCTGCGGCTGCCCCTCCTCCGCCTCCTGCTTAATTTGACATATATCTACCCAAGGCAGAAGATCCCTGATGGCCCCAACTTGGCCGGCAGGAGGTTTCTTTCCTTTGCACTCCAGTCTCTCCCTTTGAATGTGTCTCCTGGATCCCTGCTCTTCTATTTTTATACTACCCTGCTTGAAAAGAAATAAACACAAAGGAAAATAATATTCAAGAATAAAAACAAAAGCACATTTTTTAACCATTACCCAGTTTTTGAATTATATTATTACTCTTTCTATTTCTGATGTTCAGGCTGTGAATGACAATCATTATGTCACCCAAACGATTCCACCCAGAGACAAGGGGAAGTTATCCAAAGACTGGGGGAAACATCAAGGTTTGTTTTAGTTGTTTAGTCGTGTCCGACTCTTCGTGACCCCATGGACCAGAGCACGCCGGGCACTCCTATCTTCCACTGCCTCCCACAGTTTGGTCAAAGTCATGCTGGTAGCTTCAAGAACACTGTCCAACCATCTCGTTCTCTGTCGTCCCCTTCTCCTTGGGCCCTCCATATTTCCCAACTACAGGGTCTTTTCCAGGGAGTCTTCTCTTCTCATGAGGTGGCCAAAGTATTGGAGCTTCAGCTTAAGAATCTGTCCTTCCAGTAAGCAATCAGGGCTGATTTCCTTAAGAATGGAGAGGTTTGATCTTCTTGCAGTCCATGTAACAATCAAGAGCCTCCTCCAACACCATTACTCAAACGCATAAATTCTTCAGTGATCAGTCTTCTTTATGGTCCAGCTCCCACTTCTATACATCACTAAATTCATATATACGTGTGTACAAATTTAAGTACAAACACTAAAATATCATTACATGTATTTACAACTGATTTCCCCCTTATGAGTTTCTTGATGTAAGTAGTGAACCCTGAGTGAAAAACTCCATACATTAATATTGTTTGCCTAGTGCGAATCTGCTGATGAATATTAAGGTCTCCACTCCCTCTGAACCCCTTTCGACATTCAATACACCTGTAGTTTTCATCATGTGTGAGTTAGCTGATGTCTTCTAAGGTGTCCACTTTGACTGAAGCTCTTACAGCACTCCATACATTTAAATGGCTTCTCCCCTGTATGACTTCGCTGATGACTTTTAAGTGCCCCACTTCGACTGAAGCTCTTTCCACAATCCACACATTTAAACGGTTTCTCCCCCTGTGTGAGTTCGTTGGTGTATTCTAAATGATTCACTATAACTGAAGCTCTTTCCACATTCAATACATTTAAATGGTTTTTCCCTCGTGTGAATTCGTTCATGTAGTCTAAGTTTTCCATTAACACTGAAGCTCTTTCCACACTCAAAACATTCAAATGGTTTCTCCCCTGTGTGAGTTCGTTGGTGTCTTCGAAGTGCTCCACTTTCACTGAAGCTCTTTCCACATTCAATACATTCAAATGGTTTCTTCCCCTGTGTGAGTTCGTTGGTGTATTCTAAGTGCTCCACTTTCACTGAAGCTCTTTCCACATTCAATACACTTAAATGGTTTCTCCCCTGTGTGAGTTCGTTGGTGTATTCTAAGTTTCCCCACTAACACTGAAGCTCTTTCCACACTCAAAACATTCAAATGGTTTCTCCCCTGTGTGAGTTCTTTGATGTATTCTAAGTGCTCCACTTTCATTGAAGCTCTTTCCACATTCAATACATTTAAATGGTTTCTCCCCTGTGTGAGTTCGTTGGTGTACTCTAAGTGCTTCATTCTTACTGAAGCTTTTTCCACATTCAATACATTTAAATGGTTTCTCCCGCGTGTGAGTCCGTTGATGTCTTCTAAGTGATCCACTATCACTGAAGCTCTTTCCACATTCCATACATTTGAATGGTTTCTCCCCCGTGTGAATTCGTTGGTGTATTCTAAGTTTTCCACTTTCACTGAAGCTCTTTCCACATTCAGGACATCTAAATGGTTTCTCACCTGTGTGAGTTCGTTGATGTATTTTAAGGTGCTCATATCGACTGAAGCTCTTTCCACATTCAATACATTTAAATGGTTTCTCCCCTGTGTGAGTTCGTTGGTGTATTCTAAGTGCTCCGCTTTTTCTGAAACTCTTTCCACATACAATACATCTAAATGGTTTCTCCCCCTTGTGAGTTCGTTGATGTCTTCTAAGTTTTCCACTTTCATTGAAGCTCTTTCCACATTCCATACATTTAAACGGTTTCTCCCTGTGTGAGTTCGTTGGTGTATTCTAAATGATTCACTATAACTGAAGCTCTTTCCACATTCAATACATTTAAATGGTTTTTCCCCCGTGTGAATTCGTTGGTGTATTTCTAAGTTTTCCACTTTCACTGAAGCTCTTTCCACACTCAAAACATTCAAATGGTTTCTCCCCTGTGTGAGTTCGTTGATGTCTTCTAAGTGTTCCACTTCGGCTGAAGCTCTTTCCACATTCAATACATTTAAATGGTTTCTCCTCCGTGTGAGTTCGTTGGTGTATTCTAAAGTGTTCGACTTTCATTGAAGCTCTTTCCACATTCCATACATTCAAATAGTTTCTCTCCTTTGTGAGTTTGTTGATGTATCCTCAGACTTCCACTGTGATAAAAGCACATCCCACATTCCATACATTTAAACTGTTTCTTTGTTCTTCCCAATGAATTCACATGTGGCTCCATAGAATTCTGACTTTCATCTTCCTCACCTGTTTGGGAGGCCTGGGAGGAAAGAGAATCCTGTTAGACTTTCAAGAAAGACAAAAGGGAACTGAACACATGTCAATCCCAATCTGTACGTTCTCTCATTTTAACACCTTCATTCTCCACTATCCCTCTCGAGGTTCCCAAATTTTACAAAAGCTTATGAGACAGTGGCAAAGAGCAGCACATGATCACTCTATTCAAAATTAATAAAGGCACCATCATTTTATAATACAGATCTATGGAGGAATTGGCTTATTAGACACATCTATTTTGTCTTTCTGAAGTGAAGAAATGATCTCAGGCTCAAGTAAACAGTATTTCCCTTGTGAAATAAATAAAACTTAAGTGCTACATGTAAATATTGCAATACATTGGAACCTAAGAAGAGGCCTGCTGGATCAGGCAAAGGCCCACCTAGTCCAGGCATCCTCTTCTCACAGAGGCCAACCACAATGCCTGTGGGAAACCGGCAAGCAGGATTGGAGCACAAGAGTCTTCTCTGCCTTCGTGTGCTTTCCAGAAACTAGTATTAAGAAGCATTATTGCCTAGGATTGCGAGGGCAGAGCAGAGACGTAAGTCTTATCCTTTTTTTTCAAGCTATCCAAGTTGCTGGCCGTCACTGTCTCCTGTAGGATAGATTCCATAGATGAACAATGCTTCTATTTATTCATCTTGCAGCCCTTAAAGCTGATAAATGTATTATGGCCTAAGCTTTTGTGGGCTGCAGTCTGACAAAGTGGGACTCTTGACCAGGAAAGCTGGTGCCACTATAAAACGTCTGAAGTCTCTTTGTTGGCTTTGGTTGGTACTTATTTTGAAATTTGCACCAAGGTTGTACCACACTATCTCCATGGAAGCTTAGGGACGGACAAAATTACAGGGTGTCAGCTCTGTGAATCTCAAGCTTCTCATGCCTCCGATGACAGAGCCTGAGAACGCAAGAGATGTGATTCAGTTGGAATGTGAAGCAGGGGAGGAGCAGCCAAGCTGCAGCAGGAACAAAAAACAAAGAGCAGGAAGAGGGGGTGCCGGGGGGGGGACAGACTGTTATCTCCAGTTTGAGCTCTGACACAGAGCCCCCGGAAATAGCCTGTCCAAAAAATCGTAGGCTCAAGAGAATCTGCGAGAAGAGGGGGAAAGAAAGCGAAAGTGGGGGCTTCTTTGCTGGAGGACTCGGCAACTGCAAGCTGGGATGAACAGGCCGAAGACTGAGCTCCACAGTGATTTATGAGTTTGAGCAATAAACCTGAGATAATTACTACTGGAGTTGTCTCGCGTCTGTGCGGGAGAACCAAGCCATTACACAGGGGTGCTATAAATTATTATCCCACTCACTCCCTCCCTCCCTCTCACAAACAACCCCAGTTTGTAAGATTGGCAATTTTACACATATTTGCTTATAATACCACCCGCTCTTTGACTTTATATGCCCAATCCTAAGTGTAGAGCCTCCAGCCACAGGAATCGTTGTATCATGATAACGGGTCTTTTGTCCCTTAAAGCCACCAAACTGGGAAGGTGCATGCATTTATTGTGTTTTGGTGCTGGTGGAATGTATCATTCTGACCCTGGTCTATAAAAAATAAGAGTAACAGAAACAATTTAAATGCATTAATTATAAATAGTTATGGAAGCGCATTTCCATTCCCCTTCACCCATTTTTCAGGATTGGTGTGCAACATCATTATCATCAATTATTCTTGCCGTGGAAATAACACCTAAGATTTCAAAGCCTGGAGGAAGAAAATCTGCTCCCACTACTTTAGGAAAAGGATTCAAGAAACAAAGAGCTGCTTTGGAGAAGGCCTCACCCCTTCCTTCTTCCTGTCAGGAACTTCCTTCCATTTGTCTCCTCTCCA